CTTTGATGGCTATTTTAATACTAGCCTATAAAGTCATCTGATCATTTAACTGCAGGAAGATGCAAGGTATGCAAGTCATGGGTTTAGAAACATAGGCTTAAAATATTCTTCTAATCTCTCTTTCTTTTATCTCTCAAAATCGGTAATGGAATTTATTCAAAAATGTTTACTGAATAGGAAAGGGGCAAAAAAGAAGTTATCACATTAAAAGAAATACAGTGAAAATGCCTAATAATGCAAATGAGGTTCAAAAATTAATACTTTACTGAATAAACATAACAAAATCCAGGTTAATTGCAATGCACTAGAGGAATGTGACCTATGCTATAATTCTATAAATTTGTTTCTCCTCGCAGGTCTAAGATAAAGAAATTTTAAAAGATTAAGAATTGTACTCAGAGTCTGAATCCTGATGTTAGTCTCTTAGGCTCCACTGAAAAACAGTGTGTACTTCAAAATGCTAATTAATAATCTCACTTGATTCATTTTACCACATAAAAACAGAGAATTGTAGAAGAAAGATTTTTTGTATCCATCATAATATATTTCCAGAATAAATAATTTGCAGTATACATAACTATAAAAAATAAATTCTAAATTTTATTTATATAACATATAACAAAATGCTAAGGGAATATAAAATGGCTTTTAAAATAAAATATTAAACAATTACTGAAGCAGGCTCTAAAAACTTATGTATCATATCTTATTTTGAAATTAAATACAATGACTCTCTAAATTACTGTAAAAGAAGACTCATCTACCTGTCATGTTTTTTGGACTGGGAATATGTCAGTACAATAATATGGATTTCCTTAAATTATTGTAACATTTTGACCAAATATTTTTAGTAAGTATTGTTTTGATATTGACTTAAAAGCAAGTGTATGGTATCTGAACTGATGTAACTTTTATTTCCAAGCAGATTTTATTAGAGCATTAACTGAAAAATTGTAAAAGATTTAGACATAATAGGAAAAGTGCCAAAGCTAGTTAGTTTTTCCCAAGATCAATATTTAAAAATGTATTTCTCTTAAGCTACCCTTAAAGATACAAGAAATTTTATACTATTCAGTAACAAATAGTGTAATTTCAATTAATTTAGAAGGAAAATTTATGTATAAGGCATTTCAACTACAATATCCTCAAACAAATAAAATATTAAAATAAATTTCTCAATTCTCATGATCAAATCCATGGCAATAATATTGAAAATACTAAAACCAAGATGAAAATCATAGCAAAAAGTATCTACATGATGTGGAGCTACTGAAATAGGTTATAAATGATATGTTCATTTCTCTTATTTGATCTATGCAACAACTTATGAAAATATTTAATCTAATATCATCTTATAAAAAAAAACGAGGATCAACTGGGTGTACAATATAACCGGATCAGACAATTATCTATTAGACAATGAAGCATTCAATATTTAAATTCCTTGCCAGTACAAGACATACTTTCTCTATGACTATACTATGTCTTCATTGTCTACTGTTAAACCTGGAAATATCAAATCATAAAAATAAAAGAAGACAGCATCTCTCTTTGGCTTATTATATGAGAGAAATTACATTTAAACAAACTGCACAGTTTAGAAATAAACAGCTAAAATTATATCTACATATATGGTCAGTAAAAAATGTATAAGATACAAATAACTAGTCAGAAATTGAAATTAAAGGAAACTGAATCATAAATCAAAAAATCTATACATAAAATCTCACTGAAAGCTAATATTATATTTTAATTGTTTTCTTTCATAAAAACATGTACCTTCTAAGGTATATCAAAATATGTGAGTAATACCTCATGTTTAGTCCTTTCTTTTCTCAGAAGTCATTGATTCAATTTGCAACACAACTCTGTTTGATAGGGGCCTCCATATCAATTTTAGGTTCAGACTTATCCTATACCTTGAAATCTATTGTAACACTTAAAAAGTTTATGCATGAAGAAAAACCCTTGCTTACCTACAAAAATGAGCTGCTTGGTCAATTAGGAAATGCTCTGGTTGCAATGCATATAAATGATTAAGCCATCTTGTCATTCACTTTAAAGGCCATGGTGATGCCCCTGGGAAGATTCATGTTCTTCACTGGGACAGAAACTTTCTTTTTTTCAACTGTAAACAAGTGAATAATGCTAGAAAAACAGATTAAGTCCTGAAAATGATCATTTGGAGGCATTTAAGTGTTGATTCTTTGAGAAAGTTTTAGTTTAATGAGATCCCACTCATCAGTATCAATAGCTGACTTTAATTCTTGGACAAATAGAGTCCTATTCAGGAGCTCCTTTCATATCTATATCATGGACAGCACCGCCTATGTTTTCTTCTATCAAGTTTATATCTCACATGTATGTTTTAGGTTCATTTGGAGTTAGTTTTTGTGCAGTGTTATGGATGCTAGTCCAGTTTCATCCTCTGCCTGTGGCTATCCTTTTGCCCAGTGGCATTTGTTGAAGATGCTGTATTTTCTCCAGCTTATACTTTATGGTCAAATATCAAGTGGCTGAAATTACCTGTACTAAATTTAGGTCTTTGATTTTTGTTCTATTAATATATATGTCAGTTTTGTGTGTGCCAGTAACATATTGTTCATTTTTGGTTTGCTTTTTTTTTTTTGCTATATCTTGTAGGATGTAATAAAAAACAAAAAAACAGATATTAGTGTTAAAAATAAAAATCTGACAAACAAAGTGTACAACCACTTGCTCTTACCTCTACCTTAGAAAGAAATAGGCAATTTCACCTCCAGAAATACTCAGACTGAGGCTGAGCCTAAGACCTGTCTCCTCCCATCTTATATTCCTCTCTAGTCCTGGGCTTAAAGACAGGTACCACTACACCCTGGCCTCTATGGCTAACTAGGGTGGCCATAAAGATGTGTGCCAGCACTGCCTGGCCTGTATTGCAATTTGGTATTAAAGAAAGATTTATTTATTAAAACAAAAATAAAATATCAATATCATGTCTCTGTAATATAAATTAATATTTGGAGTAGCAATTTCTCTACTAATATATGTTTTTGCTAAGGAACATTTTGGATGTTGGGGTCTTTTGTTGTTCTTAGTGAATTTTGTGTTTTTCTCTAATTTCTGTGAAAAATGAGGTGGAAATTTTTATTGTAATTTTACTGAATCTGTAAATATCTTTTAATAGAATGGCCATTTTCAAAATATTAGTTCTAGCTACCTGTGAGCACGGGATATCTTTTCATTTTTTAGTCTCCCTTTTGTTTGTCTCTCATCAGAGATTTAAAGCTTACATTTTATATGTAGTTTACTTCCTTGGTTGGGTTTATTCTAGATACTTTATTGTTTTTGAGGCTGATGGGATTGAAATCACACCCATGATCTTATTCTCTGTATGTTTGTTGTCAGTGTATAGAAAAAGTGTTGATTTCTTTAAGTTGATTATGTAACCTGTATTGCTCGTGAATTTCTTATACTTTCTTGAATTTTTTTCTGTTAGATATTTTAGAATATGAAATGTATAATGTCATGTTATTTACAATTAGAAATATTTTACTTCCTTTCCTATTTGTATCACTTTTAATTTCTGTTTCTTGCTTCATTACTCCAGTTAGTATTCAAGTACAATGCTGAAAAAGACCGAGTATAATGAACACCTTTGTCTCTGTTTTGAAGTGAATAGGATTGCTTTAACCTTCCCTTGATTCAGGATGATATTGGCCATACAATTCTTGTATATAGCTTTTATTATGTGAATGTATGTTCCCTCTATCCTTACAATCTCTTATATTTTTATCATGAAAACATGTTAGATTTTGACAAAGATTTGTTTCTCTGTCTATTGATGGAATTAGGAGATACTTTACTTTGCATGCACTTATGTGATTTATTACATTTATTGGCAACATATATTAAGACATTGTACATTATATAAATAAAGCAAACTTCATGAGGGGATATGACCTCTTTTTATGTATGTCTGTATTCTATTTCACTTTTTTCATTGAGCTTTTGAAAGTATTTTCATCATGGATAGTGTACTGTAATTTTTTTTTTAGATTCCTTATTTCTGCTGTTTTATTTTTTCCTTTTATTTATTTATTTGTTTAAAATTTCCACCTTCTCCCATCCTCCCATTTTCTTCCCCCTCCTCCTCCCCTCCCCCTTACTTTCCAGACCTAAGAGAAGTCAGGGTGCCCTGCCTTGTGGAAGTCCAAGGCCTCCCCCTCCATCCTAGGAAGGTGAGCATCCAAACAGACTAGGCTCCCAAAAAGCCAGTACATGCAGTAGAATCAAAATCCAGTGTCATTATCATTGGCTTCTCAGTCAGCCTTCATTGTCAGCCACATTCAGAGAGTCCGGTTTGATCACATGCTCATTCAGACCAAGTCTAGCTAGCCTTGGTGAGCTCCCATTAGATCAGTACCACTGACTTCATGGGTGGATGCACCCCTCGCGGTCCTGACTTCTTTGCTCATCTTCTCCCTCCTTCTGCTCTTCATCTGGGATTTGAGAGCTCAGTCCAGTGCTCTAATGTGGGTCTCTGTTTCTATCTCCATCCCTTGCCAGATGAAGGTTCTATGGTGATACGCAAGATCTTCATCAGTGTATCTATGGGAGAAGGCCAGTTCAGGCACTCTCTCCTCTTCTGCCCACGGAACTAGTTGGGTTTTAGTGATTTTGGTGAGTCTTCCCTTGGTTTTTGTGTTAGACTGCTCCTGGTATGATAGGAGTGTAGAAATGGTTTTTCTCTCTTTTTTTTCTTCCTTAATGCTAGTTTAAAAAGGAACAGCCTTATATCTTTTTTAATGACTTGCATAATCTATATTCTTGGGACATTTTTAGTATGAAGTCTTTTGATGCTGCTTCATTTGCCATGCGTCTGTTTAGATTGATGGCTTATTCCCATTGAATTTTGACATTTCTTGTAGGCTTTTGAGCTTAAATATGTGCAGATTTAAAACAATACCTTAGGACATCTTAGGGAGGCTGCAGTGGTCATCGCCACTCCGAACTTCATCATGCCGCCCAAGGATGACAAGAAGAAAGATGCCGGAAAGTCGGCCAAAAAAGACAACGACCCAGTAAATAAGTCCGGTGGCAAGGCCAAAAAGAAGTGGCTCAAAGGCAAAGTTCGGCACAAGCTCAACAATCTAGTCCTGCTTGACAAGGCTACATACGACAAACTCTGTAAGGAAGTGCCCAACTATAAACTTATTACTCCAGCCGTGGTCTCTGAGAAACTGAAGATTCGCGGTTCCTTGGCCAGGGCAGCTCTTCAGGAGCTGCTTAGTAAAAGGCTTATCAAGCTGGTCTCAAAGCACAGAGCCCAGGTAATTTACAGCAGAAACACAAAGGGTGGAGATGCCCCAGCTGATGGTGAAGATGCTTGAACAGGTTCAATCAGCTGTACATTTGGAAAAATAAAACTTTATTAAATCAAAAAAATAAATAAAAAAATAAAACAATACCTTATAATTGTCCGAATTTCTTTGGTGTGTATGTTGGTATGATTCTGTGTTCATTTTTATTCTACTAATTTATTTATGTCCTCTCCCTCTCTCCCTTTATTTATTTAAAACAACCTTCCACAAATTCTTTTTATCTTCTGTAAGAATTAGGACTTAAATTTGTTGAATATATATTATTTTCTTTTTCTATTTAATTGATTCTTTCTTTAAATTTCCTGACACCAACTGGGTTTCTGTTTTGATTGGTTTGTTTTTCCAAGTATTTCTGTTTTAGAATTAAGTCACTTATTATCCTCTTTTAGAATTTTACTGTGTCCACAGGAAGCTACAAATTTCATACATATGACTGATTTCAGTGCTTCCAAACAATCGTGGTTCTTAGCAAAGGGGGGCCAAAAGAGTGAAGAATATGAGTTGGAATATTGCCAGACAACTGTATTTTCTAAACATGAAAGGACAGTTGTACGTGTAACAAATGAAGCTCAGCATGCTAAGACCCGTGCTAGTTTATGTGAGGCGAAATTACAGCACAGCAATGATGTGTGAGCACAATGTCTCACACCTAGCTGAGGAGCTCTTAGTGATTAACATCCAGTGGGTAGAGAGTCAGTTTACTTTGGGAATCACCCCTCAGAGGTTAACTATATTCATTCCCTCAAAAGCAACTGATTAGCAACAGCTTCTCGGCTATGGGTGGAATTTGTACTTACATCCATTCCCCATTCAGAATTTTTGTCTGGCTTGAAATTGCATAGATTAGTGCAGCAGACCCAGGCGCTGTTGTGTCATGTTTGTAACAGTAATGTCTATAATCCCAGCAAATGTATTTTTTTCTACATACATTCAGTGACGCTGGCTCTTCTAACCATTCTACTGTTTTCTGTAATATTTCCTAAGCCTTGAAGAAGGGAAGACTTGCGTGTTCTCATGTTCTTTTTATATTGACCAGATGTGTATCTCTTTATTAACTGCTACTTACTGCCCAAAAAAATCTTGTCTTATGGAGGTTGATAAATTCACTAATGTAAAATTGCTGAAATAAGTTATTAGGAACCAGATTATTGCTATATTCTTTTAGGAGAATAATAGTCATAGGTTCTACCATAGGATCTGTAACATAGTAAGACATGAGATTTTGACAGCTAACAATTCCAATCATAAACCCGGTGTTTTGGAGAGGGATTTAAATCAAGTAGAAAGCAGTTGGTTATTCCCACACCATCCATGGCAGCTATTGAATGAATGGCCATGACCTGTTAGGACAATCATTATTTCATCTCTCAGCATTCTCAGCTAGTTAAGTCCGTTAATGACTTTTCGTCCATGGTAGAATGGAGAGAACATTTTATTGCAATGAAAGCTATGTTTCCTTACCATAAAGTTCTTGAGAGTAAACAAGAACAGTAGTGGTAACTTGCAAGTTTAGAATGAGGTACTTGAGAGGGGTCTAGTGAAAAGAAAGTTGCAATGGATGGTAGATGGATATCTTGGAGATATAAATGTAAAGGAGACAACAGTGAAAAGGGGGCTTAATGTTCTCTGTCACCTGAGTTTCCTTACTTTAATAATAATAATAATAATAATAAATTCAATCTTATGAAAGCATGGCAGCAATATTGAACTGCTGGCACCTCCATCTACAGAAAACATTAGCAAAAATAACATACCTAGGAGGAAAGTAAGAACCAGTTAAGGTTGTCATTTTAAAATTCAGCACTTACAACATTTCTTAGTCCTAATAAACCCTCAGCTTATTATTATTTTGGATTAGAATAGATTTTGTATAATAATAAATTACTAAGTTTATAGAGATATACTCAGTTTAGCAAAAATTAACTTAGAGATGTATGTCTAAAACTGCAAAATGTATCACTAATAATAAAAACCCAGAGACAGAAAATCAGAAAAGCAAAGAAGCCAAACTACTAAAGAAGTCTTAACAATTCTGGGTGGCTATAGATTGAGCCAGCTAAGTTTATCTCTTCTCCTTTAAATTTCCTCTAGTGCCAAGATTGAAGGCATGACTCCCTACTACTAGGATTAAGGTCAGATACCATCACCTGGATTTGTTTCTGCACTGATTTTATGTAGCCCAAGGTAACCTTGAACTGACAGAGATACATCTACCACTGCCTTTAAAATTCTTGGGTTAAAGGTGTGTGCCACCATTACCTGGCCTGTAGTGGTTTTAGTTTTGCCCCTGGTCTTCAGGCAGGATTTATTTATTAAAATACAAATAATATACTACTATACCAAAATCCTAATCTTATATATGCAAACTGTTAAAGAGAGGAGATCCATGTTAATGTTCAGTCACTTTTAAGGTATCAGATTCTTTAAGGTGCTCAGAACTAAATGTGTAATTATGCTAAGTACAAATTTAATTCTTTTACAAGGACAACCTTTGGCCTTCTATATATGATTTTAATGTTGATCATAAAGCAAGTAACTAAAAACAAGATTTTTTATTTATTTTATTTTTATTTTAAATAAATTTATTCTTTGTGTAGTATATAGCAGTAAATAAAGAGAGGCACACTGTTTAATATAAAGAGAACATGAGTTATATCAAAACCCCTTTCCTCAATGCTCAAGGATTATCACAGAAATACAGCAGAAGTACTGAGAGAGCCAGAAATAGTGGATGTCTGTAGAAATTAATGAATAAATAGATAGATTTATTTTGAAGTTTATTTAAAGTCATATATATAGTTAACAAAAGCTTACTTTGCCTCCATATAATAATGCTCTAAACGTTTTATCAAAATAAGAAAATTTATTGTGCTGTTTGTTACAAAATCTTTATATTTATTCATATTTTTTGTCCAACCTTTAAAAGTATGATAGATCTCTAATGATCCCATGTGAATTGCCCAATGGATCCTTCATGGGAAAAATTAAAACCAGCCCAACTCCTAGTGCAGGAAAAATGGCAGCTAAAACATTTAGAGCTCTTGATTAGTCTTTAGAACACTATTTTCATAATTTATAAAAGGACAAAAATAAATTTTGATTATTATATGATTTCAGGAGTGTAAATTTTATCATGAAAACAATGGGGTCCCTCCAGACATGGCTCCCTGCTCCTTCTCTGATTCCATAAGATCATTACATTATTATCCTTGATTTAAAGGATTTTTTCTCCATTCCCTTCCATCCTAATGATAATGAACATTTTACATTCTCTCTCCCTACTTTAAATAACCAACAGCCTATGACAAGCTATTGATAGATTTTACCACAGGGATGAAGAAAAGCCTTACTATATTTCTATCTTTTGTACCTAAAGCTCTTGAACTGGTGCTGACTAAATTTCCTGGGATATCATTCATTCATTATGTGGATCACATTCTCCTCTTCCAATCAACTCATCAATACTTAAGCAAATACTTATTTTTCATGATAGAGAAACTAAGAGAACAAAAATTAACCGTGGCTCCAGATAAAATACAACACCAACCATTTTATAATTATTTAGGATATACTATTACTCAGTGGTAAATTTTCCATTTCCCTTTTAGTTTAAAACTTCCTAACCAATACAACTCAGTTACCTACAAAGGGTTTTAGGCACTATTGATTGGGTATGCTCTTATTTGCCTACTACTACTAAGGACAAGACCCCACTCTTTAAGATGTTTTCTGGAGACTCATGGATAAATTCTATAAGAAAAATATTAAATAAAGCTACTGCGAAAGCAGTAGCTCATAGTATTAATCCCTTTCTCCCCTATCAATTACTTATCAGCCCTTCCTCTTCATGTCCTACTGTGGTAATAATTCAAAAAGGCAATGGTGTTAAATAAATTTATCTATGCCATAATTCTCCACAACAATCTGCAACTCCTTATTTATAATACATTATAGGCTTAATAATGATGAAAGGACACATCCTAAGTAATTTATTGGTAAAGGACCTACAAAAATTATTGTGCCATTGAATAAAATGTAGGATGATTATTAGATATCCCCCAACTACTGAATATTTTCACCCTGCATTGCACTCAAATAGTTTCTCTATTAGAAACTGCAAACATTAAATCCCACCCAAGTGCTAGTGCTATTTCACAATTATTTCTCTCCCTTCAGCATCTATATGAACATAACTCAGCAGTTTTTCATAACTTGTCTTCATGTTTGTTCTAATTTGCCAGATCCATTAACATCCAACAATGAAGACCTGTTTTGGGTACCAGCTGCACAAGACGATCCCAACTTGGCTAGCTGAAATGGTGCACATCTTGTACAACATTCTGGCCAGACCTCCACAAAATACTCAGAGACTAAGAGACTATTTGCAACTTTAAAAGACATTGATCTTGATATTTAACCATCATTTTACTTTCACAGGATCCCCCAGAAAGAACATCGCCCCCATGACAGCTGGAAGTAATTCTAGAGGACGACATCCCCTCTCCCAGTAAAGTTTGCCCCTGGGTTTAGGGACATCATATTAAGGGTTGGGAGGTTGGGGGAGGAATTTTATAAGCTTAGGGATCATTTTGGAAAAAAAAAGATGATGGGATAATAGATTTATAATTTTGAGTTACTGTTTTTAGACAAAAATATTGGTATCGATTCTTGTATATTGATACAAAGTTAAATTATATTGACTATTGTATGCATGTATGTTTCTACCACTGTTTAAAATATTTTTTATGTAACATATATTGTATTTATATATATATATAGTATATATTTACCGTATTGCAGTGTACATTTCTACCTCTGATTAAGATACTTATATAATGTTTATGTATTGATATATATATATATATATACGATATTGCAATGTATATTTGTACAGTGTTTATATTTGGAGGTCATTATCCTCATTTGTTACACAGTTGTTTATTGTCTTAGTCTTTAAGTTAGAAAGATATTGAGAATTATATAGATTAATAGTCATCTAAGTTTGTCAT